TTACAGAAAATGTTCACAAAGCTGGGAGTAGTTCAAGGCGTAACTCTCGTGGCGCTAACTTGCAAACATCTGCAGAAGTGGATAATGATGATTGCCAATTCATTCATGAAAAGTCTGCTGCTTTTAGATTTTCTAAATGCAGACAGACTTTCTCTACAATGCCCTCTTCTGGAATTCGATTTGGTTTAGGTTCTGAATCTGACAGTGATTTTTCAGACAGTGACTGTTCTGATTGTGAGATTTTCGAAGGTTCTCATAGAGAGGTCCGCGAGCTGTGGGAGAAAGCTTCTTTGAAAAAAATGAAGAAAGCAGGTAAAGCTGGTCTGAGTGAAGAGCCTGGTCCTTCTAATCTCCACTGTGACACTAACTTTGGGCCTGGTTTTGAATTTAGAACTGAACAACATGATCAAACATCTTTCTTCTTTCCTGCAAGAAATCCAGACGGCGGAAAAGAAGCCTCTTCAACTTTCTTCGGAACCGAGAAATCAGGTAAAGCTGGTCCGAGTGAGAAGTCTGGTCCTTCAGATCTCCACCATGACACTAATTCCAGGCCTGGTTTTGAATTTAGAACTGAACAACATGATCAAACATCTTCCTTCTTTACTGCAAGAAATCCAGATGGGGGAAAAGAAACCTCTTCTTTTTCCTTTGGAACTTATAGTAGAAAGCCTAATACATCTCTATTTGGTTCGGAAATGGAGGAAGACAACCGAGCTAAAAACTGTGCTAACTCCAGTTCTTTCAGTAAACCGTCAAAAGAACCGATACATCAAAATAGTTTTGAAGAAGTTGCGGAACAGCCAAGCACAGTGCAAGTTCAGTGTGAAACTCCAAAATTGCCCAAAGAGAATCAAATGAAAAAGGCACCCAAAGTGAATCAAAAGAAAAAGGCAGCAGATCAGTCTTATACCAAGGAAGTTGTAGAAGAAGAAGACGCCTCAAAATCTTCTCCGCCACAGACCTCTGATGGGGTTGATTCTATCCCATCTACAAGTGGACAAGTGCAAGGTACAGCTCCTGCAGTTGATATCATGCTTAGCAGAGAAATGTTGAAGGAGACAGATGAATACAAGAAAGCACAAGAAGAAGAATGGGAGTCCAGGCAACAGCAGTTACAGCTACAGGTTTAACCTTACTTTGCTCAAATTTTTGAAAGTTGCCGTTTAAATATCTGAAACTTGGGAATCTTTTTCTCAAGTGTTTTATTAAACTTCCTGTGGAATTGTTGCAGGCAGAAGAAGCTCAGAGGGAACGTAAGAGAAGAAAGTTAGCAAACACGCGAAAGTTGGAGATGGAAAGAAGGCAAAAGGAGAGGGTAGATGAAGTGAGAGAGACACAGAAGAAGGTATCTACTCTTCCTCTGTGCGCTCGCTCCTGTTTCTTGTGTTGATTTGGTAACATACATTTTGTATTTCCATCTCTAAATCACAGGATGAGGAAAGCATGAACATGAAGGAACAAATCCGTGCAGAAATAACCAAATCGCTTAAACTTCTTGAACTCAAATCATATAACATGGCGTCGTTGCTTCGAGGCTTAGGGATTCCTGTTGGTGGTGGAGCATCTCCTCTGCCACAAGAGGTTAGCCCAACTATCTCTACAGTTTGTTACATTGGTTTACTGCTTTTGCATATACTTCATATGATAACAATGTTTATCGTAACCGATTTTGAAATTAGGTGCACGCAGCGTACAAGCGAGCAGTTCTGAAATTCCATCCAGACAGATCATCAGGAGGTGACTTGAAACAGCAAGTTGAAGCTGAAGAAAAGTTTAAGCTTATTGCTCGCATGAAGGACAAATTTATATCCTAACATTGACCAATGACGAGTTATCCAAGTTTACTTTTTTTTTTTTTGGAAACACTTAGAAGAAAGATTATATCTGTAAATCAGTTTCTCGATTATCCAACAAAAACAAAATTGTTGAGGTAGGTTTAAAAAAGGATGAAAAATAGAACACTAAGTGTTTGGTATCAATGTCTTCTCTTCTTGCCTTTGCCTTTACCAAGTTGTCCAGATTTGAAAGCATGTTCTTGTTCTTGAAGGAAAGCCCAGGCTTTGCCATGTTTCTCTGCTCTCTCTTGCTCTTGCACAGCCTTCTCTTTTGCTTTAACCTCGCTCATGAAGTAACTGTCTTTACGCAGCTCACGCACAGCTCCTTTTGCTTCCTCTTTTAACTTTCTCTTCAACTTTTTAATGTCGGATCGGTATTTGTCTGGATCGTAATCCCTGCCTTTGACATAGCTGTGCACAACAAACATATATACACCGTTATAGAGATCATCCCTAAGTGGCTCTCTGTAAGTAAATGGATTTAGGGGAAAGAGAGAGAGATGCTTACTTCTCTTCAAATTTGGGATTGACCGTTCTGATGGCTACTGGCTTCTGCTTACGCATAGAGAGTGGTTTGCGTTGCTTCTGATGCTCATCGGTTTTCTTTTCAATTAGCTGGGCAACATCTTCTAATTTCTCCTTGAGAGTTTGTGGGATCTTTTCTTGATTACCAACTTGGTGTAATAAAGTTGAAATGGGCATGAAGATCTCTGGAAAGGAACTCAATCCTCTGTTTATCTCCACAAACCCTCTGAGAGTCTCGACTACACTTGAAATGATGCTTGCTCTGTTTAACCAAAGCCAAGAGTATTTCGCTTCTGTAAGTTGTTGATGTCTCAAACCAAAAATTGAATTCAGAAGAGAGAACAGACCTGAAATCATCAGAGCTGAAATATGGAGAGTCTGCTGGCTGATCCATTATCTTAAGGAAGTTTAAAGGCACAACCTCTTTTACGTGTTCTTCTATGCACAGCAATGGAGTCAACGATTTTAATTCCATAAAATGATAAAACTGTAAAAAAGCAGCTCATCAGCCCGGTAACAACAGTTGTCTATGTCCATATTGAGTTCTTTAATGCAGCATTGATCTTTAGTCAATCCAAAGTCATAAGATGAAAAACGAATGTACCTCAGATTCCTGAGATGGAGGTGATTTTTTGTCTGAAGCAGCCATCAGAAGAGTCCGGATAAATAGTATGGCTTCAGGACAGAACTTTTTAGATTGTTTAGCAACCTACAGTAGATTTTTGTTTGCATGAGAAAAATGAAAAAATTGAAATAGCCAATGAAAAGGGTAGGGATCGACTGCTCCTTACCAAGAGAACAATGGAGCATAAGAAAGAACCTATGGCAATATCACGACCAGAGGAGATGGGACAGCGCATGAGATATTCACACATCAACAATATCGATGGTGTCATCACAACATGGCGATAGTCAGAGCACGGAAAAATCATGGACCAGAGCCGCAAGAGATACAGTGTTTTCAAGGAAGGCCAGCATCCATCATCTGGAAGAATGTTTCTGAACTGGTTAGGGCAAAAAATGGAAGAAGCATGCATCTTTAAGGGCAAGGCTACTGAAGCACCACAAACCTGGATTCTTGATGGCCTCGCAAAATTGGGCACGGGTCTTCAAAAGCCGCTGGCGAGCACATATTGCAGCAAAGTAGGGAATCTCCATGCTCATCTCAATCAATGGTTTGACAAGCATATTTAGTAACTCAAAGTTCAAGGGCTTCTTGTTTGTAAGAACCGCGAAATACTGCAGGAGAATACCATAGAAGATCTGGGTGGCAGACAACAAGAAACATTCAGAAAAAGCAAGTTAGGCATGAACCAGTTCAAAGTTCTGAAAACTTAACCAGAAACGAACTGCAGACAGGTAAATGGATAATGTTCTTTGAGAGCAAAAATAAAGATTACCTGCATCTTTTTCCGATTTCCAGCTGCGAGCTTAATTGAATTACTTGTCCGGATTCGACTGACAATTACAATAACATCTGCATTGGAACAATCTTCTACTAGAGCAACGAATTCCTCAAAATTCTCTGGAGCATCAATCACGAAAGGAATATCACACTGCGTAGAACTCAATTTCTTCATATTGGTTTTTGGTTTCACTGTTCCAGATAACCCTTCTCTTTTACTCGGAGCAGCATCGTCTATTTTTGACTTTTTATGTACTCTTGGCTCCACC